CAGCATCGGCGGCAAGCTGGACCACATCGCCTGTGAGGCTGGCTCAAGGCCGCGAAGTCCAAGTGCAGATGTTCCGATGTAGACCCTAAACCCTAAAACCCTAAACCCTAAAGCCTAAACCCTAAAACCCTCAACCCTAAAACCCTAAACCCTTAACCCTAAAACCCTAAACCCTAAACCCTAAAACCCTAAACCCCTAAACCCCTAAAGCCTAAAGCCTCAACCCCTAAAGCCTAAACCCTAAACCCTAAAACCCTAAACCCCTAAAGCCTAAAGCCTAAACCCTAAACCCTGAACCCGAAAGTTCCTTAACTCAGCAGCCCAGGATATCTTGCGGTCACCACCATCCTGAACACCATCGGAAGCTCTCCTCCCGGTTTCACTTAGGGTTTAGGGTTTAGAGGTTTAGGGTTTAGGGTTCAAGGTTAAGGGTTTAGGGTTTAGAGGTTTAGGGTTTAGGGTTTAGGGTTTAGAGGTTTAGGGTTAAGGGTTTAGAGGTTTAGGGTTTAGGGTTTAGAGGTGAAGGGTCTAGGGTTTAGGGCCTCGAATGCGTTGGTTCTTCCGCAAGCCAGCCCCTCAAACTAAATGTGAACGGTAAGCTTGTTGAACCCTTAGACTGAAACCAGCCCTCAATCCGCAAGCCCTGAAGCCGTAGTCTTTAAACCCTGTGCCCCTAAATCCTAGACCGCTGGACCTTTAAACTCTAAACCCTCCATCATTATCCGAAATGGCATCGAGCTTCAGGGTTCAGGGCTTAGGGTTTTGGGGTTTAGGGTTTAGGGTTTTAGGGTTTTAGGGTTTAGGGTTTAGGGTTTTAGGGTTTAGGGTTTAGGGCTTTAAGGCTTTAGGGTTTAGGCTTCAGGGTTTAGGTCTTACGGTTGTCGGAGGCTAGCAGTTGCTTGACGGTTCAAGCTTTGGCAAGGACTGACACAGAATGACATGGTCGGTTACATGTAGTATCCATGTGTTTCAGTGTTCAGGACTCAGGACAGCACTTAGACCCTAAACCCTAAACCCTAAACCCTTTACTCTAGACCCTAGACCCTACACCCTAACCCCTAAACCCGTAAACCCCTAAGCCCCTAAACCCCTAAACGCTAAACCCTAAACCCTCTTCTGGGCCTAGGAACCGGCTTCTTCATGCGGGTCACGTGTGGGACGCCGATGCTTGCAGATCTCCTGGCGATCAGCCCGGTAGGCCCTTGAAGCGAGGGTTTAGGGGTTTAGGGTTTAGGGCTTAGGGTTTAGGGTTTAAGGTTTGGGGTGCAGGGTTTAAGGTTTAGGGTCCAGGGTTTAAGGTTTAGGGTTTAGGGTTTAGGGTTTAGGGGTTTCGGGATGAAGGATCCCTCGCGCCACTCTCCGTATCACCCAAAGCCCTGATCCTTAAAGCTCTAAGCCCTAAACCCTGAACCCTAAACCCTAAACCCAAACCCTTCCTTAAAGCTCCAAGCCCTAAACCCTGAACCCTAAACCCTAAACCCTAAACCCAAACCCCTGGTCCTTAAAGCTCTAAGCCCTAAACCCTGAAGCCAAACCTCCAAATTCCCCTATGCAATGGCATCCCCTTCTAGTCCCTATGTGCGTAGGGCTTAGGGTTTAGGGTCTACTGCAATAGACCCCAAATCTTCGTTCGAGCTAGCAAGGCCTCTCTGTTACAGCCCCTAAAGCCTGTACGACTGCTGAAGACCCCTAAACCCTAAACCCTAAACCCTAAACCCTAAACCCTAAACCCTAAACCCCCTGTAGTCCTCAACCCGTTCACGAACGTCCTCATGAAGCGGATCGTGCTAAGGATGTCGGATGCTGAGTGCTCTTGCATGTTGGGGTTTAGGGGTTTATGGCCCTGTAAAGGACCAGCCATGAAACCCCGGGCTTAGCGTTTCTCCCCAGAAAGCATTGAGGTCGGAGATCTACGCCGGTAGAGAGCAGACCAAATGTATGCGGATGACCACATACGCGGAGTTGTTTTCAGGCTGCTTGTAACTTGGCTGTCCGTGGGTTGGCTTCTCATGGCATTTTCGATGAGCCAACTTGGCACTGTTCTCGACCAAGGATTGCGGTCATCGCCGCAGTTTTCGTTGGGCTGTTAGAAACATATGGCACCAGCAGCAACTTCCCGCCCGGCACCGCTCACGCAGTCGGAATCGCTGCCATCTTGGCGTTGACGGTCCTCGTCTCGGTGCTTTTCGCTTTCGGGTTTACAGTGCAGGGATTGGAGCATAGGGCTTAGGGTTCAGGCGTTAGGGTTCAGTGTTTGGGTCCGACTACAGCAATCTGCTGCAAACTGCTTCTCCCTGACAGAACACCCATACCCTAAACCCTAAATCCTAAAAACCCTAAAACCCTAAAATCCCTAAACCCTAAACCCCTAAACTTGCCAAGGTCCTGGTGGTACTTGATGGAATCTTCTCATGGTCCGCATTCACATCTCTTCGCGCCATCCTGCGCAGCGTGCAGATGGTCATGCCGACCGAATCCTGCCCGGACGCGCAAAACCAACGCAGTAGTATGTAGGGCTACGACAAGGGACAGCCCGACAAAAGGCACCTACGCCCCAGTTGCAACCCGTGTACTAAGTCTAAACCCTAAACCCTAAACCCTGATGCTCTGACTTGAGACCCTTGCATAAACCTTGCGGGTTCTTGCCCGATGAAAAGTCTCCTCCATCCATAACGCAAGCTTGGCAGAACCAAGAATGCTGCATCCGAAGACACGAAAGCTATTAGCACTCAAACCCCAAGGACTCCCTAGACCCCAAACCCTAAACCCTTAACACTCAAACCCCAAGGACTCCTAAACCCTAAACCCTTAACACTTAAACCTCAAGGACTCCCTAAACCCCAAACCCTAAACCCTTAAACCTCAAGGACTCCTAAACCCTAAACTCGAAGAAACCGAAGCCGAGGAATCCAACAAAAGCATTGTGAGCAACTCCTTGGCCGTTGCGAAAGCAAACCTTTGGCTGGTGGGGCCCAACAAAAATGGGGAGGGTTTAGGGTTTAGGGTTTAGGTTCTAGGGTTACTTTTGGATTTACGGTATTTGGGAGTTTGGGGGTTTAGGGTCTAAGAGCTTTCGACCCAAGTTGGGGATGGCTGTCATTAGTTTCGAAAACGCAGGTTGCGCTCGCAGTCCTTGGCACTAGCATCTTCTATGCTATGCTCATTGTTCTTGTGGGTGCCGTGACCATCTTCTACCAGCATGAATCCGAGCACCAGGAAAGCTATAAGGGCTACGAAAGCTATCCAGGCTACTCCGGCTACACCGACGAGCCCTCCGACCCGACACTGGTGCAGGGGATGCTGCCCCTGATGATTCTGGGCTCTTGTTAAGGGACTTAATTCAAGTTACCATAATAAGGAAACCCCATTATTTTTCCATAGATCCCGATTATGCTAACTTAAAAACCCTAAACCCTAAGCCCTAAACCCTAAACCCTAAACCCCAAACCCTAAACCCTAAACCCTAAACCCTAAAACCCTATACCCCTTGAAGGAACCCTCTAGATCCCTTTAAGGAACCCTTTAAAGATCCCTTAAAACAAGAGCCCAGGATTTGGTGCCTGGACAGCATCTTCAATGACCTCTGCGCCGTCTACCTTGGCTGCGGTCCCAGCCAGGACGGGTCTTAGGGCTTTTAGGGGGGGGTTTAGGGTTCCTTAAAGGGTTCCTTAAAGGGCTCTATAAGGGTTCTATAAGGTGTAGGGGTTAGGGGGTTTAGGCTTTAGGGTTTTAAGGTTTAGGGTTTAGGGGGTTTAGGGCTCCCTTAACGGGTACTATAAGGGTTCCTTTAAAGGGATCTATAAGGGTTTAGGAGGTTTAGGGGGTTTGGGGGTTTAGGGTTTAGGGGTTTAGGGGTTTAGGGGGTTTAGGAAGTTTAGGGGTTTAGGGGTTTGGGGGTTTAGGGTTTAGAGTTTAGGCTAGGTTTAGGGTTTGGGGTTTAGGGTTTAGGGGTTTGGGGGTTTTGGAGGTTTAGGGTTTAGGGTTGAGGCGAGCCCTTGACTCGGAAGTTGTGGGGAGCTAAGCTAAGCCCTAAACCATACCAGGGCCCAGCCTGAGGCATGAAACCTTAAATCCCCACCCCAAAAAGGAAGCCACAGCTCCTATAAAAGACTCTTCAAGCTTCGTTAGAGGAACCCTCAAAGACCCTAAACTCCTAAACCCTAAATTCCTAAACCCCTAACCCTAAATCCCTAAACCCTAAACCCTTAACCCCTAAACCCTAAGTCCCTAAACCCTGAACCCTAAACCTTCCAGTGTTTTTTAGACTCGTTTCGAGATTGGGCCCGAAACGTTGGCTTTAGGGGACGGGATACGGTATCTCAAAGGCTCCAAGTAATCGTATATGTGTATATGCTTTGGGGGGCCAAATTATCTACTAAGCCACTACTATATTGGTGCTTGGAGCCTTTGGGTATGGGAATTTCCCGACAGGCTAAACCCTGCACTGTAAACTCCTAAACCCTGAACCCTGCACTGCAAACCCCTAAACCCTAAACCCCTAAAACCCTAAACCCCTAAACCCCTAAACCCCTAAACCCTAAACCCCTAAACCCCTAAACCCCTAACTAAACCCTAAACAACCCTAAACCCCTAGACCCTAAACCGTCAAGCACAGGGAACATCGCAGGCAACTCCTGGGCCCCCAACAGGCGCTAAAGCCATCGACATCCCAGCAGATCCGAGGTTGAGCTCGAGAAATATAGGGGCCTAAATAATTACCAATATTACCCAAAGGGTCCAAGTATTCATTATTTAAGGACTTCTATGGGTAATAGAGGGGCCTAAATAATTGCTTAGTAGCTGACGGAGTACGCTTTTAAGCTTTTTCTGGGCTCATATGATCCCTTATAGAACGGAAAGTGTACACTGTTGGTGTGCTTATGAACTCAGCAACTAAGATTGCCAATATTATTTTGGTAGTTAGGCAATACAAGGGCCATACTACTTAGAATAGGGTGTTGGGTTTTGGTGGTTCCTTATCATGAGTTTTAGTATAATATCCCCCCGAAACCCTGTTCTAATTATTACGAGCCCTACATTAGCAATTCCATTAGCCAGCCTTATGATCTTATCGCTTTCTGATTAAGAGCGAAACAATATATACCTATACAGGCAACGAAAACTGAAACGCTAAGCAAAATTTAAAACAGCTCTTTCATCTAGGACCCTTGCAGGGACCTTATAGGAACTGTAGGGTACTGACAACGCACACTGTAGGGTACTGACACTGAATCCTCAAACCCTAAACCCTAAACCCTAGACCCAAGCCGTCCAGGTGTGGCAGAGCTGAGGGCTCAAAAGCCGCGGAAAAGCCGTCAGCACAGCGTGGATGTCCTGCAGACCCTGTGGTGCCTCTACGAGGACACGCTTTAGGGTTTACGGCTAGTAGGGCTTAGGGTTTAGGGGTTCGGGGTTTAGGGTTTAGGGTCTACGAAGACGCCCGGTTGATCAAGCTTTCACCACCTCTACTGCCATACACCCTAGCCGAAGACTTGAGCGCTAAGTCCTAAACCATATGAGTCCTAATGGATTGTACATCCCAGACCCGTCTGCATCAGGAGGATGGGAGCAGAGGCACTTTCCTGGGCTACTGGGTCACCATCATTCCGGGACAGCTGAAAGGCCCTTTGGCCCACGACGACCTGAGTGCCCTTAGGGACTATGCCAGCAACAGTACCTGCCTGCTCCTAGGCAGTCTGGGGCTTAAGGTCTAGAATTTTGGGCTTAGGTTTTTAGGGTTTATAGGGTGTCGGAGGTTATTCTGTTCGAGGTCTAGGGTGAGTGACGGCTTGGGGAGCCGTTGCTGGGCTCGAAAACTACAGTTTTTCTTCGCATTCCCTTTGCAGTGTTAACTTCGGGGGATCCTGAGCTGATAACTCCAGGTAGCAGCAGATCTGGCATTGGGGCATATGATTATGGGAATGTCCGAAAATTAGGGTACCTTATTCGGGGGTCCTTATAATAAGGATCCTACTATTTAGGGTACGTACTATATTAGGGTCCCCTATTTTCGAAAACCCCAGCCCCATATGAATTCGTAAGGGGGTTCCAAGTTCCAGGGTTAAGTTCAGACCCCCTCTGCGTTTTGATGGATTTAGGGTTTAGGGTTTAGGGTTCAGACCCGGTTTGCGGAGTTTCATAAAATCCCTGCCCGGCTACACGCACTGAAGACTCTGATGTGTACCCCGAGGTGTGGACGGCCGTTTCCAAGGATCCTTCCTGAAGCCTGTAAATCCCCGAGACATCCCCTAAGGGTCCAAGCACTCGTTATTCAAGGACTTTGGGGCCTTTATGGGTACCCAACACCAAAAATAAGGACTACTTGGACCCTTAAGGTCCGTGCTTAGGATCCTGATCATAGAAGGTTCCCGCTGTGTTACTTGGAAGTGGGAGTGTAAGTACAATTGCACCCACAGCTGCAATGAGTTACACTCTTATGTAAGGCACTTTGTAATTCTACCCCAGTTATACCTGCCCCTGCGAAACGTTTACGCAGGATCTTCCAGCGAGCCCGTGAGTTGAAGACTTCCACAGACGAAGGTCAAACACTGGACTATGCCTACACCCGGAACTGTAGTACTGTTGTTGGATAGCCTGTTTCGTGGCTAGGGCGCCTAAGGTCTCATGATAAGAAGATGTTAAGGCAACCCCAAGGCTTTCACCCAACAGCCTAAAGGTCTGAATCCAAGAACAGTACACCTCATATACCAACAGCCCTGAGAACACGAATGAAATTGCAATCTCAAGTCCCCAAGACCCTAAACCTTAAAATCCCAGCTTTCCACGATTTAATCGCAACGTCCCCAAGCCTCCTGCCACCCGTTCTGAGGGTTTAGGGTTTAGGATCAGAAATTTCTGGTTCACTGAGGTGCTTGGGAAAGGGCTGGCTGATTTGGATGCTGCCGCACTTCTCCGTGTACCTCACGGGCTTCTCCTTCTGCAGCGCCCTCGCTTTTTGTGTGTGGAGGGTTCAGGGTTTAGGGTTTTCGGTGGGTTTTGGGGCCTAGGGCGTGGTGTTTTGGGAATTTCTTAACACCGTCCCTAAGCCTCAGACAGAGAAATCCAGACTACAGCCAACACCATGACACACCTTCAACTTACAGCCCCAAACTTCCACTCCTAAACGATTCAACCGCTTGCCCTGGGGGTCCAAGTAGTCCTTATATTTATGGTTTTGGGTGCCCATAAAGGCCCCAAAGTCCTTAAGTGATCAGTACTTGGACCCTTATTGTTGCTTTATACGCACATGGACCCCCTGGGTCAGAGGTGCGATGCTGGGGAGCGTTCACTTCCAGATCTTGTGCTCCAACGATGGCTGCAACTGGCACGTGGCGCTGGCCTCAAACAGAGAGGAATTGGGAGAAAACCCAAGAAGTAGCCCCCCCAAGAATTGACAATTATTGTCACTCGGGACCCCTCCCCCCCCCCCTCAGATTGTTAAGTAATGCTATCTGAACCTCCATGGGTGCTGAGAAAAACTACGTCTATGGTGAAGCAGACTAAACCCTAAACACCAATAGAGCCCCATAGTAAAGCGCTTTAACAAGTCCCACAGAATCTTCTTCTTATGTAGAGAACCGTCAAGGACAGAGCCCAGAATCAACAAGACAACGCCAACAAAAATTCTCCGGAGGAGCTCAAGGCGTGGAAGCCCGTGGCCTGCGAGAAGCCGCCGCACCTGGTGAAGTGGTTCAAGCTCGAGGTCCTCGAGACTTGGGGCTCTGGGTGGGGGGATTTCGTCTTTTTGCAGTTGAGCCCTATACCTTCAACCCCTAAGCCCTAAACCCTAAACCCTTAAACCCTTAAGCCCTAAACCCCTTATGCTTGCAGCTACGGTGCGATGTATCAGGGTTGAGGGTTTGGACTTGGGGTCCTCGAGGCATGGGCTCTTCTTACCCCAAGGCTCTAAAGCCCAAAGCCCTCAATCCTTAACGTTGAGCCCCAAAAATCCTGAGCCTTCAACCCGAACGGTGTTTCTGCAAAACCCGAAGCCAAGGAGGGGGAGTTCAACAACGACTTCTGCATCCACGGAATCCTGCAGGAAGACTGAGCACAGCTGCCTCCGTGCAGTGCTACTGTTGATGGTAGAAATCCTGCATGACCCAAAATAAGGGACCCTCGGGGAACCTTAAGGGAATCCTAGGGAGGATTAGGGATTACTAGGGTTTAGGGTTTAGGGCTACCCATAATAAGGAATACATACCATAATTCCCACAGGTTTAGGGTCCTTGAGGTAGTGCCGTGCAGGATTTATATCATCAACAGTAGGAGTTTGGGCGCCCGGGTCTTTGCTTGGATAAGTGTGTGTGCAGAATCATTGTCGACATGCGTGTAGACTTCGGCAGCACTTGTTGCAAAGCCCGCTAGTAAGGTCATTGTCTACATAGGGGCACCTGATATGTTCATAACATGAGCCGTTCTGATTCCAAGTATACTTATTCAGGCCGCTATATCAGCCCAAAAGCAAGCCCAGCGAGAAGGGTCAAAGAAACCCAGCTGCTGGGGACGTCAGGCAGAGACCGAGTGCAAGAGAACGGTCCATAGGTTTGTAGAATAGGTCTCAACCATTCGCAAACAAAGAGTCAAAAGCTGCGCCGGCAGAAACGGACAGACCCAG